CGTACGCCACAACGGCAGGTCCAGTCAGTACTTCCAGGGGCATTGCGCGTGAAGAAGAGCTCGGCCAGTTGGCGCCCACGAAGGATGTTGGGGTTGGGTTGGTTCATCAAAACAGATAATGAATGTCAGCACTCAACCTTGAGTTCCGATGGCGTGTGGGCATCCAAACGTTTGAATGGCCACACGCCATTGGAACTGAAGGTAGGAGTGCCAACCAACGAATTATTCCTTTGTAATTCAATACTTATTCATTTCTGTAAGCTTTGAGTATAACCTATTTTCATGTTCCAGAAATCAAGGTTATTTACTTTCTTGGCACATAGTAGAATAATTGTTTTTTAAATAAATAAGTATATTCGCAAAAAAGTTATTTTTTGGTCAGCTCTGGCGGTGGCTACCACTCTGGTAAAGCCACTTCTCGCAGTCCAACAAGCTACATATATCCTTCCTTGTCCAATACCTTGACGACATCGTCTTCAAACTCCGGATTCAACACAATGCCGGCATTTCGGCCATGGACTTTATCTTCCCCGAAGGGGCTGGTCGGGGAAGATAGGGTGATGGCCAGAATGATTGCGTAGAAACACCATTCCATGTTTCTTGGAGGGAATAACTCCGGATTACAGTAGGCTCCTAAACCAGATAATAATGAAGCAATTAAATACGCATATGTTTCGGCGATACATATACAATACTACAGTTTTACTGACCAATTCACCAGACACGTCAATCCAAGTTTACATCAGTGAAATTTGTGAGCAATGGCCAAATTTCCAAAAGACGTCCACAATATTCTGACAGTGCCACAATGACAAATTCATTGGATGAAACGCAAGCCACGTCAATCATAAGAATGGTAGACGTCAGCTAAAACCGTAGATTATGATTGGCCCCCGCCAAGTCGTCCAAGGCGCGAAAACTCGAATCATAAAATGCAATCCTCCTTCACTTTCAATTGTTCACCATGGTTCTCAATGTCGCCGCGATGCTCACACGCTTGGAAGACCAAGCAACCTCCGACCGCGTCTCGACGACTACCCCGAGGTGGCTGAACACTAAGACAACATCCCCGATTCGTCATGTCCGGTCCTGGACAGAGTCAGCAGCGACTCCGGCGAAGGAGGCGTACGAGTCATGACGAACTTTACCCGGCGCGAGTTTGACGTTCTGTGGGCCGTGGCGGAGCTTCCACTCAAGACGCCGCGGGTCGATATCGAAGACAACACCAATGGACGCCCTCTTAATGACATTGACAGTGCTCAAGCACTACAACACTTGGGGGAAGCACACTTTGGACTTAGGGTTCAAAGCTCCTACGTTCCAAAAGCTGATTCTACGAGTTGTCGAAGTTGGGATGCCTGTCTTTTACGCCGAGTTTGTCAAGATGCCGAACATGTCGGAGTTGCGGGCACAAGTCCATACCATTGGAAACTATCCGTACGCCCTCTATGCTACCGACGTCAGTTCCAGTCCACCGAGCGACCGACCCGACGCCATGACGAAGCCAAGCCGTACTTTAGTGCGAAGCACAACTTGTACGGCTTGAAGATTGAAGCGTCCGTCCCCCCCCCTCAAGGCCTTCTTGTGGACATGAGCGAATCCCACTGTGGAGCCGTTGCGGACCTGACCATCATGCGGTCACGCATTGATCAGCACGTTCGAGCCCTGGCCAAGTCGGACAACGAGCTCAGCATCTTGGATCATGGGGAGAAAGTAGACATTTACCGAGGAATGTGGGAGCTTCTCATTGACAAGGGGTAATACGGCGCTTCGGTGGACGTCCGTGTAATTCATCACAAGAAGAACCCGCCGCGTGGCTTCTTGGACCCTGATGACGTCGTGCGGAATCGTCGTGTGTCGTCCGATCGTGTTGTGGTCGAAATCTTTTTCGGTCGTGTCTGCAGCCTGTGGAAGGTATCGTATGCTACTTTCACGTGGAGTGCGAAGTTCTATGATGAGATTCAGCATCTCATGTTTGCATTGACGAACTTTCGTGTGTCGTTGATGCCTCTGCGGGAAGCGGACATACACTGGTACCGCCGCTCTGTGCTTGCGCGCTATGAGTCTATGGTCCATGCTACGGCGGCGAAGCGTGAGGAAAGTTAGCGGAAGTCGCGTATTCGTCGCATGCAACGAATTGCGTTGAGTCGTGATCGTAACCACTCTCATGTATTCACGTCTCCGTAATTGTCTACTCCAAAAGTTTTGACCTTGAAGTACCTTAACTGTAAGTATAAAGTTGTGAATACAAGAGCGGACAGTTGCTTTGGGTATTAAGATAGTAAACAGGTAGATAACATGGTATACGTGCTAATACCCTGAAACGAGCAGGTAAGAGGGTTTAAAATGCATATTACAAATATATACGGGTTTTAGACGGGTATTTGGTGGATAAAAATCTAAACTTTTTGGACGCCTTTTCCCACCCGATTACCTTTGTTTTAATCCGTTTTTACCTAAAAACCACGATTTTGCTATGTTTAACGTGATTTGTATCCATTTGAAATTCATTTTTTATTAGTCGTCCAGGCGTACTTTTATTCCAACAACTGGAACCACGAAGCAAATACCCGAAATGCTCCCCGCTACATCAGATTGTGACCGATTTCGGTCGTGACGCTTCGGAAATATACCTATGTACATTCAGTTTAGTCGCCACATGGATGTTGCTGTGCAACTACCTCGTCAACAATTCTTTCAGTGAGACTCTTTGAATAATCCTGGTCCACCTATACTTTCACGATAGAAGTGACGAACTCGTTTAGCAACCTAGTATACAAACAGTGCACCACGTCGTAATTGTGGGTCTCGATGTGAGGCATAGTATTGCCTAGACTATTAAGATAAATGTCTTATTATAAATAAATAAAGTGTTAGCTCAAGCTTGATTTGCTTTGTTTATTCAAACATCATCATCTGACAATGCCGTGAGTGTCTCGGATTACAGACGGAGCCCCCATTCTATTGTTGAGCACAAATCACATTCGTACGATGGGGGCGCCATTGCACCCAGTCCTTTCGAAGAGGAAGCGGCGTCTGTCGATGGACATGCAGCAGGAAGCATTCGACAACCTGAAGGACCATCCGCTATACGAACGCATCTCGCTCGTCAAGACGAAGCGCTTAAAGGATCTCGGGTACATGACCCATCTCATCTCGGACCTCCAACGACACCTGGTCCAGTTGAAGCGCCGGCAAACGTCGCAGTTGTCGTGGGAAGACGTCACCCAGGCGCTCAAGGACGACACCGTCGGCCGAGTGCGTGACAACCGCTCGCTCAAGCAGGAAGTCGAGCTCAACTCCCAAATTTGCACGTACCTTCAGACGTGGCTTGCCCACGTCCACCCTGCCGCGGTGCGTCTGTCCTTTCTTTGATGTGTGCTTATCACTCTGTAGATGAGTGCGAATTACGTGGAAGAGCACTGGCGGCACTCGGCGCTGTTCAAAGGGGACGAACATGCAAGGCATGTGGGACTCTCGTGGATCACTCGTCAAGCGTACCACAACACGGACCGCGTCCTCTCCGCCATCCAGTTCCCGTCCGCGACGTCCGCCGACTACGCCGACTTCGTGGACGTGCGCACGTCCAGCGTGAACGGCATGCTCATCCTCATCCAGGTGGCGACCCAGCGGATCCTTCCATATTCGCTGGAAGACGTGTCGGAAGCATACTGGCATGCCGAGAAGTCGTTTGGTGAGTACGTCCTTCGGCACGAATTCGTCCATCCGCGCTTGATGGCGTCCATCAACGGAGACATCGACTACACGCGCGAAGAGGTGGGGAACCACATCCAGCGCATCTCGGACAAGGTGCTCATGGGCCGGTTCTGCGACGACCACCGCGCCATCTGCGTGCTTCGGTCTGTCATGAACGACGAAATGTACCCCCTCGAGGCCAACACGTGGACCACCGACACCCGGCAATGGTACACGCTACTCTCGCTACTTGTTCATCTTACCTCTAACACGGCATGACGTAGGATGCTCGCAGAGCGACTCGGACCCGCGCAGACTCGTGTCCGGCAGTACTACTCGATCGACCATCCCTGCACTGAACGAGGGTATGTGCCGTTGTGGGAGTATGCGCGCATGTGCGGAGTCACCCACGCCATCGACGACGCCGATGTCCTGGAGAAGCTCCAGCTCAATCGGCAGGCAAAGCATCTTTGCAGCCGCGCGCAGTTCGCTCGCCACTTCGACGATACCCTTCGAGCGACGGCGGACGTCACAAACGACCATGTATTTAATTACACTTAGCTAAATTATCCACAGCCCATATTATTTTAAATTTGAATTTCCAGCGATCTCATTAGCTGAAATACGTGAATTTAGCGACATGCGCATGTTTGATTGGATGTCATATTTGGTCAAAATATTTACTTTAGCCGCAATTAGGGATAGGTAGTTGGTTTTTCGTATCCGGACGAGAATAGTTTGGGGCTATTTTTTGGCGGCAACATGGATTGGGACCAAGGCGCCGTAACTTCGTTGGCGGGCGGCGGACAGCCTGGCGCGCCAGGCACCGGTGGCGCCTCCACGGTGACATCATCCTACGACCTCACGCGTCGATGCGTGAGTTTCCTCCGAGGGTTCCGTGAAGAAAACACGTTTGTGTACCGCGCTCAGTTGACGTCGCATCTCCGTCGGTCGCACCTGGTGCTGGAAGTGGAGCTGCGCGACCTGACATCATACGATGCCGAGTTGGGGGACATGTTCTTGTCGAAACCTGCGCAAATGCTTCCGCTTCTCGAGGCCGCCGCCGCGCAAGTCGCCAAGCAACAGCAGCAATCTTTGCCGATCCAGATTGTGTTGAAGAGTGCAGCGATGGAGAGCCTGCGACTCCGCGACGTGCATGCCTCGCAGGTGAATCGACTCGTGAAGGTTCCTGGTATCGTCATCAGCTCGTCGAAAGTACGCGCAAAGTGCATGAGTATCTCGGTCCAATGCAAGAACTGCGGCCATGTGAAGAACCTCCCTTGCCCCAGCGCTTTCCAGGTACCTGTCCCGCTTTTGCTTGTTCATCATGTCATGCATTGGAGTAGGGAGTGGCCGTCCCCCGCAACTGCGATCGCCGCGCACAGAACGACGCGGAAGGCAGCATGGGCGTGCTTCAGCAGGACTGTCCCAAGGACTCGTATGTGATCGTGCCGGACAAGTGCTCCTACGTCGACCAGCAGACGCTCAAGCTGCAGGAAAGCCCCGAAGTCGTGCCCACGGGGGAGATGCCGCGCCATTTGCTCTTGTCGTGCGACCGGTAATTAGTGTGCGAGTATCCATCGTTCTCTTTCTATTTTTTCTTATTTTCGAATTTCCAAAGATACTTGGTCGACAAAGCATCCCCCGGCACTCGCGTCTCGATTCTCGGGATCTCGTCCGTGTTCAATGCCAAGAAGCAAGTCGGCGCCGTGGCCATCCGCACGCCGTACCTCCGCGTGGTGGGAATCGAGGTACCATCATCGCTCCTTCCATCTCTGCTCATGCATGATGATATACAACAGATCGACGAAGAAGGAGCTGGACGCGCCAAAGTCGTGTTCACACCGCGGGAAGAAGAGATCTTTGCCGACATGGCGCGGGATCCCAACTTATACGAGAAACTGTCTGCCTCGATTGCACCCAGTATCTATGGGGACTACACCGTCAACATCAAGAAAGCCATCGCGTGTTTGCTCATCGGGGGGAGTCGGAAACGTCTTCCAGATGGCATGATTGTACGTTAAACACATGTATCGCTTATTGTATATGTAGTAGTATTGTGCTTTCGAGTGAACTTTCATTGTGTTGTGGTTTCTCGTTGGAATTGAAATCGATTTGATTGGCTACTTCAGATGAGCTCAAAATTATTAGCCAATCAAAACCTTCTCAATGAAATTCAACCAATCAGATCGATTGTGGATTCGATTGCACCCCCTCCCCAAATTTGTATCAAATCGGCAATATCGTGCATTCATTTCACCCAAATTTGGACTTGAGAGAGTCATTTCGCCAACTACGTTTCGAATCGATTGGATGGTATTTCATCTTGAACAATCTATACTATACAAAGATGAGTATATATATATGGTTTTGCCCCAAAATGGGTCAAACGTTTCGATTGGCAGAAAGTATTCGCCATGACTACGTGATTTGATTGGCGGTGCTTTTATCCAGTACGACATTCGAATTGACAATACTAATTCGATGTTGATTTGGTTGGAATTTGATTGGCTACTTGATTCTTGATCTCGGTTTTGATTGGTCGATCATATCGCCTAGGCTACTCATTCGATGGACCCCATTTTAATTTCGAATCATGGACTGGATAATCGTTCTAATCCCGTGACTTATGTTGATTTGGTCGTAATTTGATTGGCTACTTGATTCTTGATCTCGGTTTTGATTGGTCGATCATATCGAGTAGGCTACGCATTCGATTGACCCCACTCTAATTGGATAATCCTTCTAATCCGGTTACTTATGCTTCTAGTTGCGCGGGGACATAAACGTGTTGCTGTTGGGCGATCCGTCCACGGCCAAGTCGCAATTCCTAAAATTCACAGAAAAAGTTGCTCCCGTGGGAGTATACACGAGCGGGAAAGGCAGTTCCGCGGCCGGGTTGACGGCGTCCGTGATCAAGGATGCCAAGGGCGAGTTCTTCTTGGAAGGCGGCGCGATGGTGCTGGCGGACGGCGGCGTCGTGTGCATCGACGAGTTCGACAAAATGCGCGAAAGCGACCGCGTGGCCATCCATGAAGCCATGGAGCAGCAAACGATCTCCATTGCCAAGGCAGGCATCACCACGATTCTCAACTCGAGGTAATGGCTGACTTTGGGGCTATTTCTTTGCCAAATCGATCGATCGATTCATTCTTTGACTTTTGTATGTAAAGATCGTCCAGAAGTATCACACTAATTCGGCGTTGAATTGTTCCAAGAGTGGTATCACACTAATTCGGCGTTGAATTGTTCCAAGAGTGGTATCACACTAATTCGGCGTTGAATTGTTCCAAGAGTGGTATCACAC